ATTTTTAAAACCTGAACTAGAGCAAACAGAGACAGGCAACACATACCAACCCTAAGACTAATTAATTAAAGTTCCAGATAAATTGTGATGCTATTTATTGCTCAATGATAGTAATTATTCCATCTACATCTATAGCACAATTATCCCCTCCTTCTCTGTGTGGTTGCTGATTTCTCTTTTAGCTGCCCACTCTGCACAAATGTTGGCATTTTTCTTTGTCACTCCATCTCCTTTGGGAAAACAGACAAGATGTTAAATTATAAGGAAGTGCTAATTCAGAGAACATGAAGGCTGTAAATGCCTCAGTGGTCTAATATCAAATGAGGCAACTGAGTCTTGGCAGGCAAAAGCATTTAGTGAAGAATCTGGCAGAAGCCTCTGCTGGAGAGTTGGGCTCTCAAGACAGGGCAAGATGGACCGTTGAAGGGTACATTTTGCTCATACAAATAATAACTACATAATAACCAGAGACTTTAACAAGGAATCCAACAAAATCCCATCCCTCTGTGACATACAAGAAGGCCTCTTTCTGGGATCTCAATGTAAGATCCTTACTTTCCTGTTACATCCTTGAAGGCTCCTTAAGCACATGGGGACCATTTAGAGTTGAGGGGTGAGGAGAGCTCATTTTATTTTTCCTTTTTTCGAATTAATTTCCATGTCTAAATCTAGACGAATGACTGGTGGCTTATGATAGTTTCTCTATCCCTAACGAGGCAGAATGACACCTAAGGAGAAAACAGCACTCTGAGATAGAGGCCTGACCCATCACCCAGCCTCTAACAACTGTTGTAACTGAGTGTGAACACTTACATCCTAGGCACACCTTGGCATGTACACAAACTCAGTACAAACCGGTTTAGAAAGAAAAGGCTTCCAGGATAAATTAGATATGTAACTACTGCGGGAGGGAAAGAGGGTGAAGAATAGTTATTTGAAAGAGTTCAGGACCTCCAGTCTTAATATACATGAAAGGATGGTCATGTTATAATGATTTTTTACTGGATGGTGCTCACTCATTCATAACTCATTTAACCCCCAATATCCCATGATGTTGCCACTAATATCCTCATTTACAGATGGGGAAGCCGCTGTTCAGATACACAACTGGGTAACTTGGCACGTGTGGTCATTTTACTACAGACCATGGTGCCAAGCAGTTGTTCCTATTGGAGAATCCAGGATCTTCATCTCTCCCACCTGGAAGCTGCCCCACAAAAGTGGAACCTTTGTGAGTAAGGAACAAACACTTTGCTTCTCATAAAAACTAAGATTCTTTTCACACCTTGAAAAAACACCAAGCCAAAGGCAACCTGGGGGCTCACGTAAGCAAGCAACTGAGACGGAGGGAGGGATTCAGTCACTGGGGTTCCCTGACCTGCTGCACAGTGGCGCTCAGCATGTCTCTGAGAAACAGGTGGTGGTGTGAGCATATTTGTGTCACGTATTCGTTACACATATGTATTTTTTATTTGGGTGTGTGACAGCTTTCCTTGGTTTACATCTGGAATTAACTAAAATCCAAAAATGGAAGTCACAAGTGTTTAATCTGGGCCTTGAAGTGAGAGGACAGACCTTTAATCTGGACCACACCTTCTTCTGGAAACCTATATGAGGACATGGAAGAAGGAAGTGTTTGCCTTTTGCCTGCTTGCCCTCGTTTTGTTAGCAAGTCCATTCCTTCACTGGCATTAGATCCAACGTCGTCAGGATTCCAGTGTCTACTGAAGAACACCTGACATATCCAGACTTATGGGCTGAGCAACTACTAGATTCTTGGACTTTCCTTTCACAGCCAGCCATTGTTGGCTTAGCTGGACTGCAGCCTGTGAGTCATTCTAATAAATCCCCTTTATACACATGCATACACCCATACACACACACAAATATAAATATATTTCTAAAAGTTCTGTTGTTTTAGAGAACCTTGGCAGATACATTATGTGTGCACATGTGTATGTGAGTGTCCTCACCCATGTAGAGAGGCATGCACAGAAGCCAGAGGTTGATGTCAAGACATACCTCTTAATCTCTCTACCCCATATGCTGGGTAGAATCCTTCACATTTATGCAGAGCTCGTTGACTCAGTCTAGATAGCTCTTGAGAGTCTCTGCCTCCTGAGCTGCCATTACAGGCAGGATGTTGCACCCACCTTGCTCCTATGTGGGTGTTAAGTAGCTAAACTTCCGTCTTCATGCTTGTCTAGAATGAACTTTGCCCGTGTCGTACCCCTGACTCTCCATCTTATTTTTTGGGACACGGTCTCTAACTGAACTTGGAGTTTCTCACAATCCCCCAGAATCCACCTGGGGAGCCTGGGCTTACAGATGTGGTAAACCACATCCAGCTTTTACTAGGGTTCTTGAGAACCAAGTTAAGTCCTTGTGGTTGTGTGACAAGCACTTTACCCACAGCTATGTCCCCAGCCTTGGCTTGAGGTTTTCATCTTGAATGGGAATAAGAGAAGAGAATATCATCAAACCCAGCAGCACTTTCTTTCATATCTTCTCAGGTTGGGGTCACTTTGACTAACATACTTATATTCTATGTAAATGGATACATTTCTATATAAATACTTTTTCTTGTATTAATATCAGAATTTTGTGAACTATACAAATAGAAAAAAACCTCCTCAGCTCAATACTCTTGCAAACTTAGATTAGTTATTATGATTGAAATAGAAAAGAAACTGAATTCATCACCTTTTGTGGCTAATGATACTACTAAAAGCTGATGAGACAGTATAGGCTTAAGATTCCTGATTAAGTGGTGAGTTCAAGGATAAGCCAGGCTGTGTAGGGAGGATTTGGGTGAAAAAAAAGCAGATGACAACAACAAAATGCAAGGGGGCTAGTGAGACAGCACAAAATGCTGCTGAGCCGAGTTCAAAGTGGAGAAAGGGAAAACTGACTCTCCAAGTTGGCCTCTGACTTCCGCGTGGCCTCGCTGTGTATCCTTCCCTCTCTTACCTCCCCAAAACAGACGTGAAAAATAAGTGTAATTAAAACTTAAAATGAAATGAACAGCATAGCCACTACATGGGATGATTTCTACTGCACTTGTACTTTTAGTTGCGATTGTCCAGAACAAATCAATCTGAGGTGATCCTATGACCCCCTAAACCAACAGGGGAGGCCAAAAATTGTCCCCACCGTAACATGTTTAGAAATTGAGGTGCATGGAGAGTTTGTAATTTCATCAAAGGGACACAATTGATGGCGAGGCTGGAACTTGAATCTGGACTTTAAGATCCTGTTCTCTTTCTCTAGGGTTTTGCTGTAGACATTGTGTCTGAAATCAGCTAAGTCTGAGATCAAACATGCTCAGACCCTGCCCAGTCGCCCGGAATTTTGGAAAGCCTTTCTTACTTTATCAATTCATGAAGGATAGGCTCTGTTGCCTTAAAATAATTTCATTTGAGATGCAAATTACAAAATTAAGAGTGAAGCCAGGCCTGGTGCCTCATGCCTGAGATCATAGCACTTGCAAGGGTGAGGTTCAGACAGAAGGATTGTTACAAGTTAGAAGCATGTCTGAGCTACAGACTTGTCTCAAAATGTCCAAAGCAGTAAGATAAACCAACGAATAAATACATGATGCCAAAAGAGTCCGAGGTAAGAACAGTATTTGGAACTGAGTGAGGGATTTCTGTGTGGAGGAAACGTCTGTGCTGGATGGTCCCCAGGCAAGGTGAGAGAAAGGTATGGATGAGGCACAGCCCACAGTGTCTCCACTGATCATACTGTTTTTGGTACTAAAGAAGGAGGAGGGAGTCTCCGGAAATGTAAAAGAGGGCCACCAAACGATGACACCTCAAGCCCAGCCCTGCAGTGTGGCGTACGCTCACAGCGAACGCATCTGCTAGTAAGCACGTGGGGAAAATCGGGCCCGTAATCCCAGCCATTATGTCTGTACCACTGCGCGCGCAGCGACTCCTCTTAATTACCATGCGCTGTTCTTTTCATACTCTGGAAATGGACTGAATGGACCACAAAATGTATTTCAAAAGGCAGGCAATCTGTGGTGAGAATAGAAGCCGCCTTTATCTTTGTATAAAGAGGCCTGCACTGCACAGACGTTGGAAGACAGGGAGGATGATTCGTCTGAGGTAGAAAGCTGATTGGGAAAAGAGCATGTTTTGTTTGTTGTGTATAGAGAGCAAGAGGAGGAAGGAAGGACAAACGAACAAAACACCGAGCCTTGGGATTGCTTTTCGAACCCCACACCGAAAGCTCAGCACTTGGGGAAGCAACTGTTTTTGTCCACCTTTCCTACTGAGAGGAGATGAGGGGTGCCCAGTGATTGGTTATCCTGTAAGGGCTGGCAGTATGCCGTGGGTGGCATCTCTCAACAACTTTAGACCTCTGGAAGGCACTACAACAACAACAACCACATAAAACTAAGGTGTTTCACTGAGTTGCTTTTTATTGATTAGTTTGTCTATTATTTATTTATTATATATTTTCACACAAGTTGGATGCCTTCACTTCTCACAGAAAGAGGGCAACAGTACCAGTTTCCTAACTTCCAATCCAGTCTTTGTGCCTTTATTTGTTTATTTTGAGGAATTCAGAATGTTAAATGGGCTACTTCAGACAGTATTCTTTTTTTCAGCGACTGCCGACCTCTGTAGGAGTCTCTCTCAGCCTTTCTTCCCCAACACCCCAACACTCAGCTCTACTGCCACAGTGAGGATTTCAGCATTTTTTTCAAGTGGCCTTGTACTGCTAACTGAACTACTCTCCCTCTACCTTTTCCTCCAACAACACACAAAATGAACTTTCATTGTATCTTTAGTAACCTGGCAGTAAGTCAAACCATGAAGAAAAAGAGAAAAATAAAAAAATAAAAAAAAAAAAAAAACAACTTAAGATTGTTCCTTCTCGGGGCGATGCCCGTCCCTATGAAACCAATCCTGTAGTAAGATAGAATTGCAGTAAGCATGGGAAGACTTCTCAGCTCAGGATTGAGGCGTTTGGTTTTTGAGATTAACGAACCCTCAGAGGACAGGGCGCTGTTGCTGGGTTATGAGCACTTTGAAGCATCTCTTGATGGTGATTTGGTGTCTTGAGTATTTGTCTTCTGGGGAAAACCTAGCAGGATGGGCAGAGAAAGTATGTTGTCCCATAGCGTCAAATTTCTTCAGTGTATAGATGCGATCGCCCTGCTCATTGAGGTAATATCGGAGAAACATGACTGCTCCTCAGCAGAAAGATGCCAACCAGTCTACAGCCAGCCACCTCCCCCCCTGTTTTTTCAAGACAGGGCTTCCCTCTGTAGCCTTGGCTGTCCTGGACTCCCTTTGTAGACCAGGCTGGCCTCAAACTCCTAACAATTGAAATTGCTGCTGCCTCCCTGAGTGCTGAGAGCAAAGGCATGCGTCACCATGCCTGGCAAGTTATTTATTTATTTCTGTTTTTAGACTTTCTAAAATACGTTTGGTCTGTACACCATCAACACGCTCCAGGTGAGATTAGCATATAATCTTCATCTCCAAGTCCCAGGAATGGGGACCCCTGGAATTTGCCCCTGGGTTTGAAACTAGCATGCCTGATGATACTAGAGAAGAGATTATTGTACTCGTTTCCTCAGCAGATGAGGATGATGGTCCATTTTAGCTTGTCTTGCTACAAAGAGATGCTCAGTACACACACAAAGTGTCGTGCTGTCGACGCTGCCGGGATGATGTATAAATTGCCATCGTCTGTGTTTGTTTCCCCTAAATTTTGTATGTTGAAATAATATTTTGAAGTATAAGATTTGTATTTGAATTCGTAGATGGGTAATTATTGGCAGATAATTCTACTATAAGGACATTCCTACTGCCCTGTGGTAGTCGCCTTATAAAACAGGCCTAAAAGGGGTCTCGTCACCATTTCTACCATGTGACAACATAACAAAATGACATCTATAAAGCAGAAATACCCCTTCACTAAACACTCGATCTACTGGTTCCTTGATTTGGGGCTTTCCTGCCTCTGGAACAATGAAAAAGAAATGTTCGTTACTGAAATATTACTCTGTCTGTGGTATTTTATTGTAACAGCTCAAATCAGTTAGGTACGAATGTAACGTTACTGTATCTCTTCACAGTTATGTGGGGCTAGGACAACCTTGATTTCATTCTCCTGTGAGGCAGCATTTTTTTTTTTGTTACGACAACAGAGCTTAGCTGACCTTGAAAGCCACAGAAATGTTAGTATTCTAGTCCCTAAGAGTTTTCATGTCTTTATAAGATGTAGGCAATTATTAATTGATTGCAGACTTGTTATAAAACGGCATACTAAATAGTCAAGTTTAAGCATCGATTTGCAGAAACCACAGATTCCATTTGTCTCCTAGTGACTTTCAAAGATTTGATACTAAAACTGCCAATAACAAGGTTATGTGAAATCATGTCCTGAGCTTTTACAGATCCACAACAGTAAGCTGAATATCAGCAGCCATGAGATTGTGCAGATGCTGTGCTCTTGAGGTGGTGAGGGCCCTTCTTGGTACTTCCTATTTGAGACTCTTTTTGGCTTCTCAGAGTAGCTAAGCAACTTGCCACAGGGCTAGGCAAAGAAAAGGGCAAGGACTAGACCAGACCTATTGCAGTCTTAAATCTTACAACTCTACCCTTTTAAAAACAAACCACAGTTTATTTCCCAACTTGAACACTCTCTTCTCTTTTTGTTTTTTGCTTGCTAGGGCCTACACATGCTGGAAGCAGACTACCTACTCTTCCTCGTGAATGTTTACAGTTCAGGGAGAAGTGAATGCTGGCAGTAGCGAACCACCATAAATCCCCATGCTGAGGCTGTCTGGTCACTGACAGTCACAGATTGTATCCAACCAGGAAAAACCAGAGCTTGGGAGAACTTTTCTGAAGCTGTATAATCATATTATGATAATTTCATCAAAACCAATTTCAAAAAGCCAGCATTTATCATTAGTCTGTGTACCTCCTAGTTATCTTAGAAGAGTTTTTCCATGCAGGAATGATAGAATACTCTAGCTTGAGAGCGTTTTCTAATAGAGCATGCACACAGCCAGATGTATCGCCGTGGTGTGCAGGCCACAGTTTGCATTTGGGGCTTATTTGAGACAGTTTCCTGACAATGTCAAAGGAGGTGACATATTTAAAAAGACTGATATCAGTAACGGGCATCAGCTTCTCTTAGCTAGTTTCTACAATAACAATATTTTGCCTTGTCCCTTACTTACTTAGCAAGTAAGCCATCACTTGCTAAGTGGGGGAAAAATAATCAAAGGTACATATAGTCCAAAATATTCTCCCCAGAAGGATTCCAAATGCCAGAGTTCATAACTGATTAGCACTCCGTTATTGAGAAACACACTTGTCAGTCACTGCAGGTTTATTGACTCCTCTCACCCTATCTCCTCCCCACCCCATGTTTCTTGTTCCCTCTCTCCCTCCTCACCTCCTCTCAGGATCCTCTGTCTGAATGGAGATGTCGCTTTCCCCCACTGTCTCCATCATCCGCCGAGAGAGCTATCCCAGACAAGATCCTCCCTAACCTGTGAGAGGGCAGGGGCAGGCAGTCAGTCACTGAGCTATCCAGCAGATGCTTTTAAAATCCATCTACTGAGCCCCCTCCTTCCACCTGTTGACGCAGCCGAGTGGCCATGCTGTGTCTTCTGAACCAGCAAAATGTTTTGCATCTTGGGGAATCTCATCTTTTATCTCACAGTAGCATGCTCTTCACTCTGTAGCCTGGGTTGGCTTTAAATGCATAGCACTGTGTCTGCCTCTGTTTTATGAGTTCCAGGATTACAGGCATGAGCCACCATTACTGCTGGCTTTTGTATTTTCAAGCAGTTGAAAGAACGTCAGAAGAAAAGTACTGCATGTTAGAATGATATGAATTTCAGACTTCATGGTGTATATACATGTATTATTGGAACATAGCCATGGTCATTCACGTCTGTGGCTGATTTTGTGCTATGGGGCAGAGTTAGTAGTTATAGAAGAGAACCTGTGGCATTACTCTGTGGCTCTTGATGAATAAATCCGATCATTCTTTCTTGGAACTGCAGCCTCCTCATGGTTCCCACCCGTTCCTTCCAATAAACCCTCCACTCCCTCCTCACAGTGATCTCTCTGCCAGCATTCAACTCTGACACCATTGAGTCTGCACAGGATGAGCATATAGCACAATGCCCCTGAGCTTAAGCACAAGCAATGGGGAAAAGGAGATTAAAGGAAAAATACCTTCAAGGGTTTCTTGGTCTACATTGGGAAAAGACTGTTGCAGTGTGAGCTGTGCTCTGCTTTCTGCTTCCCATGGAGAATCCGGTCTCTCCAGTAGTATTTTCACATGTTCTACTGTGAATAATTCCCACTTGTTTCCTATTTGTAAATTCTCTTGGTAGTTGGCACTGATCATCTTTGAGTTCATGACATTCTCCTACATTTCCTTCTTGCCTGCTTCTCTCCACTGTGTGTTTCACAGGGTACCTCTTCCCTTGGTTTCTCCATCTTTTCTTTAAAAACTCAAACGCTAATATCCTGAAGCTGTGCTCTTAGAGACCTGCCTTTGTAACCTCCTGTCCCAAGCCTAAGTTGAATACTTACCTTATTAAAACACTGGTTAAAAGATAGTTTATTTTTTTTGATATCCCACTATTCAAAATTTAAAAGACTTCATTCAATGGTTCCATTCAATGTCATGAGAATTCACTGATAATATCTATCTGCCCATCCCAGGAATGTTTATATTTGTATCTAGAATGTTCTGTAAGGGTTAAAAGATAGTCCATAAATAATACCTTTTACCAATAAAATACTCCACATATACAGAATATTTTTTTTTATTTTTAGCTTGTATTTTTCCTAACACTTATCATTTCTTTCACCTAAAGGAATCATTTCTAATAAACTGGTTGATATTCAGTGCCAAGAATAAAATTGGTTATTGATTTTATAACATTAACCAGTGAATAAAATTTATTTTTCTCCCATTTAGAGTTTGAGAAATTTAAGAATAAACAGAATTATAAAAATTATCTTTGTAGCAACCATTAGCTTTATTACTCAAGCTTAGTGATGTCAACAAAACTGTCCCATTTCTTTCCATTCTTCCCATTCACTTCTCTGCCCCTTCTTCTGTCTCTCCCTTGCCTACCCTGACCAGCCTTGACAGATGAAATGGCTTCTTTTCAAGACTTTTAGGATACCTAGTAGATTTATCAAAGTCTCAAGTTACAGCAATGATCACAACCAGTCAGTCCTGATACCCTATAAACAAAAGGAAACAGAGAGATTGCCAGGTAAGCAGACAGAGGCAGCTGGATCTCAGGGATGAAGAATTTTGGCTCCCCCTCATGTAAGCCAAATGCCCAAGTGCCTAAGTGATCTAATCTACAGAAACGACTTATTTGCTTCCCAGGGTTTCATGCCAGACATGTTCATGAAATAAAAATCTGTCCCCAGAAATCTCTCACTCCACCTCACTCCAAGTCTAATCAGGTAGCAATACGCAAAGCGGCAAGTGTTCTGGGTTCCCTGGAACATGCACACACATCTTCCCCGCTTGTCTGAGTGTGTTATGAGCACATAATCTTAGTGAGGAACATAGATACATGCAAAAGATGTCCCTTTCTGCATTGTTTATACTAATGAAGCGTCAGAGCCACCTAGGTGTCTGTTGAGACAATTCTGCCATGTCTAATTATTACATGCACCGTGACTTCACAAAATGCTCGCACAAATGTAAATGATGATGTTTAATGTGTGGGGATACATTACAAAGGTCACATGCTCTTTCATCAGGATGACTAGTTTATGAGTGTTTTTCTGTCCAAGTATTCAGTGATACTGTTGTATTTCTCATATGGTTAAATTTTTTCACGTAGGTTTACAATGGGCTACATGCTTTCAGTCTCTTTCACTTAAAGAAAAAGATTAGAAAGAAAGAAAGAAAGAAAGAAAGAAAGAAAGAAAGAAAGAAAGAAAGAAGTGGATAGAAAAAGGTTACTGATTAGAAGACAATCCAAAGTCATGCTCTGGTAAAAAAGGTTTAACTTCAAGCATATAATTATATAATGTGTATAATTATCAAAAATATATGGAGGTGAGTTACAGGTAAAAACCGCTTACCACAGAACCCAAAGATCGAAATGACCTTAAATGTCACCCAAACTCCTTCCTCTGTCTTTAGAAACCTTGTCATGCCTCTGTTCAGTGTTCAG